AGGCCCCCCCAAGTCAACTCCTCCCCAGCCCCGGAATCCTCCACGTCAGGACCTGGGGCCGAGCCATCCTCCAACCCTCTGCCTTTGGAGAAAAAGCAGAGTCCACCGGAAAGCAGGGATGAAGGGGGCCCGCTGGCATGGACCAAACGCTCCAGCAGGAGGACCAGGCTTGAATGCCTCCGCCGCTGATCCGGAAGGGGCAATCCCCAAAGCAGCCAGAGTCTCACTACCAGTATAATTCAGCAGGGCAGCTGTGGGGCATCCGGAAAGGCAACCAACCTCGCACGTTGCTGCAACCTAAACCTCACATGCAATGCTAAAGCTGCCTGCACCCGAGTATCAGTCTCAGTGGACTGGGTGAATGGAGTACAAGCAAAGACCACCACTCCCAGGACTCTGGTTCATAGGTGTCACTGACCCCAACAGGCAGCAAGGCGGAGGCAGTGTGTGTCACTCTGAGGCAAAGGGACAGAGCAACCTTCAAACTCACACAAGGCGAGGTGGGACTCAAAGGTCTCCTACATTGGACCACTGAGCCCCAAAGGGGGTTTCCAGGACCCTTAGGCTGACTGCTAAGGGAAGCCCAGGCGAGGTACTGCTTACCGGTTATCCCAGAGCTACCAAGCAAACAAGGAAAAGCTGAACCCCTGCGACGTGTGCAAGCACGAGGATCTAGTGGAGGGCCACCAACATCTTACAAGTGGTCCTACCGCCACACCAGGCACACTCCCACCAGGCAAAACAAAAGAAAAACCCCGCAAAAGCACAACATCTCCAGGTGAACAGAACTGGTCGCTATGCGTATATCAGACAGCTGCACAGTACCTCGCGCTCCAGCCAGCGACAAAACTACCTCCTACCCAAGAGCAAACTGGAGTAAGAACCTCCCCAGCTGAACCTTCAAGGGCGGGCAATCACCGAGCAGCGACAGAACCACACGAAGGTAGCTGCTCCTGAATGGCTCATGGAAGATAACCCGGAGGCTGCAAAGGCAGTACTTACAGGGCATCTAGGGAAGGTAGCCCTAAGTGCATGCAGCCCCAGTACTCTTGTGTTACTTCTGGCTCACACACCACCAAAACAGAGCAACAACACCGCACTACAACACTGCCTAAAGAGTGGAGCCAGAGCAATCGATCATCACCAACACAACAGTCTCTTGAACTGAGGAGTTGCTGGCGTGAAGGTCTGGGACCCACCCCCCCTTCCCTGTCCCCCTCCCAGGGGAGGGGGGTTTGTGCAGACAGATGCGTGGCATTGGAGGTGACATCATGTTTGTTTCCATGTTTTCGATTGGGGAGTTCTGTGTGCTAGTTCGGCATTCGGTTTGCAATATTTAACTAGCAGTTGTTGGTTTTGAGATTCCTACCTTTCTGGGTGCCTGACCTGGTAGATGGCAGACAAAGACTTCCACAGAAAAGTCGACTTATGGATGTCAACCAACAAACTTACACTAAACATAGAAAAGACCTACTACATTCTATTTGGAAGCAAATCAACAAATGCAATTCAGCCTCAGATAGACAATGTTAACATCAGCAATAAAAATGATGGAAAATTCCTTGGCCTATACTTAGACAAGAGACTCAACTTCAGCTCCCACATACAACACATAACTAAGACAGTCTCTAAAACAATTGGTATACTCTCTAAAATCAGATATTATGTACCTTTCTATGCTCTCCTCTCACTATATTATGCGCTTATCTATCCCTATCTTATGGTATCTGTGCATGGGGTTCAACTTCTGGAATCTACCTCAAACCTATCATCACCCACGAAAAATCTGCTATCAGAACAATAACAAACTCTGCTTTCAGACAACACACAGCTCCCCTGTTTAAATCCCTAAAAATGCTAACCATAAATTCACTCCACACATTCTCTTGTGCCATTTATATTTACAAAACGCTTTTCTTATTTGCCATCCCTGTTCTGAAACTCTTCCTGGACAGTTGTAATAGAACACTTAATCACCACACCAGACATAAATATCTCTTTGATATCCCCAGAGTCAAGCTTAATCTGTGTAAACACTCTATGCAAATAAAGGGATCTAGTCTATGAAACTCACTCCCTAACAAATTGAAAAGTTGTCCAACTTTTGCCTTATTCAAAAACAAAAACAAAAAGTACCTAATTTCATCTTCATAGCTTCCTACCTAGTGCTTTAACTCGCACTGAATCTAGTGCTACCCAATCCCCCAATATGTACATAAGCCATATAACTTTACCATTGTAGTCTTTGATATAATCTGATATCATAAATGTTATATTTAGTGCATATTCTACTGCATTATTCCTTGAAATGATCCTCAAATTGTGCTATAATGAACCAACTGATAGCCCTGAAATTTTACCCTAATGTACCTAGTAATCTGTGTCATTACAGTGTATTGTTTTTATTGTGTACTAATCTAATCTTTGTTTATTGTGTCAAAATTTCTTACAATGTACCTGTAACATTTTTTTGTCAATTTTTGTGGAAAATATCTACTCAAAATTATCTGTTAGACTAAGGATTTGCCTAAAATGCTATGCGTGGTAGTGGCTTTCAGGAATGTAAAATTATCATAATTAATATGTACTTTATTAACCCCCAATGTACCTTCTTGTATATAAGTAAATAAATAAATAAATAAATAAATAAATAAATAAATAAATAAATAAAACTGTGTGGTCATGATTGAACTGGTGTAGACGCTGGGCGATGAGGCACTGCTGAACATCTAGGCCTTGCCATGGGAGCAGGCTGTATCTCAATTTCACTGTCTGTGCTATTATCAACGGACTTTTGTGCATAGTCTATATCAATGTCAGAGTCATCAATATCACTTTCCTCACCATCAAAAAATAATTCACTATTTATTTGATCTTGAGTCAATGATTGCATGGTGCGTGCACAGGAGGCACTTGGTCGTGCGCTTGCCTTGGTGACTGTTGGGCACCCGAGGCCTCTCACACTTCAGGGCTTCACGGCTGGGTACACAGCGCTCGGGGGTCGTAGTCCTAAGGGCTCGGGTTCGATTCCCGGCCGAGGCGGAAACAATTGAGCAAGGTTTCTTTCACCCTGATGCTCACCTAGCAGTAAATAGGTACCTGGGAGTTAGCTGCTACGGGCTGCTTCCTGGAGATGTGTGTGTACGAGTGCTGGGAAGACGGGACACCACGAGCGTAGCTCTCATCCTGTAACTACACTTAGGTAATTACACTGTGGTGGTCCAGCTGGACTTTTTTCAAAATGGCGGCTATTTACTAAAGCACCTGGGCAGCGTATGGGGGCCCCCCTCTACTCCGTGGCCTGTTTAAATCTTGTGCAGTACTCCAAAAGTTATATGCAGTGGTGTGCACTTTTGTGTCAGTTACTCAACACGTCATATGAAGTGTTGCACAATTTAAGGGTTAAGGGTTAAATCAAACAGGGGATGGTTTACGAAATTTAGAAAAAGAAGTGGCATTCACAGTGTTGTGAGTGCTGTGTGTTGTGAGTTGGTGGAGGAACACATCAAAGAACTGACCACCAAGAAATCCTAGCCCTTCACAAGGAGCAGCAACAAGAGGCAGCTGAGGAAATTTATTCAGGAGGAGGAGGCTGTACATAATGTCCCTTCCTCAACAATTAAAAAGTGGTGTAGACTATGGAAAGAAATGCAAACTTTTGTTGAAATGACTCGCCCAGAGCAAGCTGTAGTAGGCCGTTGCCTTAACCATTTTAATGACACTGTGATGCCTCACTACAAACAACTGTTACACCATAGGGAAAAATAAGTCTCTATGGAAAGATTTTTAGTGAGAAAAACAAGCAGTGACCCACAAGCAGGTCCTAGTATTATGCAGGCAAAACGTTCCAGAGAGTGTACCCCAGAGAAGCCATCACTGCGTGATGTTATAATGGAAGGGGGCTCACCTGCCAAACACTTACACCTCTCCTCTTCCCCCCTCTCCTCACCGTCTTCCATACGCCAACAAGAGTCATCAATAAAGGTAAGCAATAACTCGTACATACTTTAGTACTAAAGATTTGGGTGAAATAGGTATAAGAGTTATTCTGAAGTTAATATTTTTGGGAGTGTGGAACGGATTAATTCAATTTACATTATTTCTTATGGGAAAATTTGGTTTGGTTTATGAATTTTCGGGTTACGAACCGTCTCTGGGAACAGATTAAATTCATAAGCTAAAGTACCACTGTATATTATATACAGTGTATGTATGTATGTATGTATATATATATATATATATATATATATATATATATATATATATATATATATATATATATATATATATATATATATATATATATTTTTTTTTTTTTTTTTTTTTTCACTATTATCTACACAAATTATAAAGCCTAAAGGAAAAAATTATTATATACAGTGTAATTAATGAAACCATAGTGAAAATTGTACTCAAATAATTTATTTCCCTACAACCTTTATATATATATGATTTTGCACTACTTTTAAACAACAAAAAATTATCAACAAAAACAAAAATAACTAAAAATTTACAGTTATTTTCTAAAATCTTGATTCTTTACAGCTCAAAAGTTGTGTATACTTTAAATCTGCAAACAAGGATTACATTTAATATTGAATATCTCATTTACAGGTACCTATACGTGTGGATTATTTTATTATTGAGATCACTCCATTTATAACAACACAAATACACCATACTGAGATACTTCAGTGGGTTTTATCATAAGATAACTTGCAGGAGTGTCCTCGAACCTCCCTGAAATTATGATCAAACAAGTACTGCACTGCACAACACCTAAGAAGGAGATACTCCTTCGGGGTTTCCACTGACACGCACAAACTTGCAGGATTGAACTAATTCAGCCCACAAGGAGTACTGTACAGACATTTAACCACACAACATCAAACTGTTATATTCCAGAGGGTATTCATCTACCACAACAAACTAGCAGGGGTCACAGTAGTTCCTTCTGAGGTACACCTGAGGGGTACCTTAAGGATGTTACTGCAATGTACCTTGATAAGACGGAGAATGCGTCCGATCCTGAAGACCCGGACTACCCTGAGAAGTGTCGGGCTGATGGGGAAATTGGTAAGCACATCTTGAAGGAGGATTCCCATAATAGATGCGAAGACTAGGATGAAGTCGAAGAGGTTCCATGGTACCGTAAAATAATGATGGCGCAAGCCAATGATCTTGACTATTGCCTCTGTATGGTGTAAGGACAAACAAATTAGGAAGTAAATTCTAAAATATGTGGCTCTTTGGAAACAATAATATTTCATATTCATAATAAGTACATCTTTCTATCTATACCTTTGCTTCTTTGTTGCCTCTGAAAATTCCCATAATTCAAAGTGGTAGTCTCATACAGAATCTTCTCTAGTATTTGTAAATGTTTACAAGTGTTGAAAGTCTGCTAAAGAAACATCTCACATGTTTGCAAAAACATTTCAAGGTTTCATTTAGATGTAACACTAATGACACATCTACCACATGTTTCCACTAAAAAAGAAATGAGTCAGAAGAATGAGGATTATCCCAACAAGCATTTATAATTGATGTAAGAGACCCTTGTGAAGTGTTTTACTCAGTATGTTAAACTCCTGAATTTACATTGTGTTTGAAAATACACACAAACATGTTAAATGTTAAAATGTTGTTAATGTATGTTAAATGTTGAAAAACAGTCTAGAACTCTTATTTAACTACTGAATCCGGAATCCCCACCGAACAATCCCCAGTTAGTTCTGCACATACACAGAGCATTGTCATAGCAGGAAAGTGTCATCCCCATAACAATGTAAACCACAAAGAAAATACATGTTTAAAAAATATATTCAGTGCTGAAAAATATACAGAAACAACTGTGTTAAATGTTGAAAAACAGCCTGGAACATTATAAGACATACACTTGTATATTTGGGAATACAAGTGCGTATGAAACATTGTTGGAACCAGGCAGTTGTAAACAGACACTCGCTTGCATGCTCCTAGTCCACTTGGTTTGGGGTTGTGGTTTGGAGCGGTAGTAGAGATAACTCCGGTCGTCACCTGTACTCACCTAGTTGTGCTTGCGGGGGTTGAGCTCTGGCTCTTTGGTCCCGCCTCTCAACTGTCAATCAACTGGTGTACAGGTTCCTGAGCCTATTGGGCTCTATCATATCTACACTTGAAACTGTGTATGGAGTCAGCCTCCACCACATCACTGTGTGTGTGTGTGTGGTAACCTGTGTAATGGCAGGTTACCTCCTACAATAACGATAAGTACATTGTATCTCATATTTTCTATAGCAGTGATTCTTTGTGTATTAGTTAGATGGCCTTGTAAGTTTAAGTGTGTTTGTAGAACCCTGTGTGTAGGTGCTGTCTTGAGTTATTTTGGTTCATTCCCTCAATTAGAAGATTTCTGTAATACATGGTCCATACTCCATCCATCTTAGTCCCCATTTGTAAAGTGCTTAAGTGCCAGGACCTTGACTGAAAAGGCCCATGCTACATTTGTATTTTATCAAGAAAGTGTAGAGTAATGTGATGACCTTAAGTCCCAATTTGTGTGGATCCAATAGTCAATTCACTCCTAAGGTTTATGTTTGTTGAGAAGTATCCTTCTTAATCTCAACAATCCTGTAATGTATTCGTGTGTCCCCACAGTTAATCAGTGTAAAATAATCCTGTGTTGCTCAATAAAACCCATTTGTAAAAATGTACCCCAAGGTGTACTTATTATCCAACTTACAATAAGATTACCATATTTGCCGGCATATTGATGCACTATTTTTATTTTTATATGTATCAAAAAAGTGCCCTGCATCTAATGCTTACGGATGGGAGACCGAGGGGACATAGGCTAGGGAGCCGGACAAGCAAACTGGTTAAGTTCGCTAGGCACAAAAAATCATTGCTACTAATAAAATATTGAAAGCAAGCTGAGTTATTACAGTCTGTTAGAACAAACTTATGATACAGTGGCAGTTATGAAGGAAGTTCATATCATCTTACCCAATATACATAACTCACACCTGATATGTCATATATTATTTAACGATTGTGTTACCTTTAAGACACATTTATTCATTATCTAGATGAAAAATTATCCTAGAAACTTGAAAGGAATGTTCAACTTTCATCCGCCTCTCAGCCATTTGAAGTGCATGAATGACAACAAAACCAGAGCGCTGTGACGGTGCGCCTGATAGCCGAGTAGACAGCGCTTCAGATTCGTAGTCCTGAGGTTCTGGGTTCGATCCCTGGTGGAGGCGGAAACAAATGGGCAGATCCATTAACCTGGACTGTATGGGTCTTGAACCACGGACCCCATGCATGTGAGACCGTAGCACTGTCAACTAGGCTATGAGCAGTCTAATGGCCATCTTATTTTAAATGGGCAGTTTCTTTCACCCTGATGCCTCTGTTACCTAGCAGTAAATAGGTACCTGGGAGTTATACAGCTGATACAGGCTGCTTCTTCAGCGTGTAACAAAGAGGAAGCCTGGTTGAGGACCGGGCCGTGGGGATGTTAAGCTCTGAAATCATCTCAAGATAACCTAACCACCGCCAGATGTGCTGCCCTGGTGGCCTGATGCAGCAACAAAACATTTCATCCAAATATACAAATTTTACATCCTGTGTAGCAATTATTTCTTTTGTCCAAAATATAAACAACTAAACCACAGTTATCACTCCATTTATAACAATACAAATACACCATACTGAGATACTTCAGTGGATTTTATCATAAGATAAATTGCAGGTATGTCCTCAAACCTCCCTGAAATTATGATCAAACAAGTACTGCACTGCATAATACCTAAGAAGGAGCTACTCCTTTGGGGTTTCCACTGACACGCACAAACTAGCAGGATTGAACTAATTCAGACCACAAGGAGTACTATACGGACATTTAACCAAACAGCATCAAACTGTTATATTCCAGAGGGTATTCATCTACCACAGCAAACTAGCAGGGGTCACAGTAGTTCCTTCTGAGTTACACCCAGGGGGTACCTTAAGAATGTTAGTGCAATGTACCTTGAGCTAAGAGTTGTGGTACAAAATCCACTTTAAAATATCTTTCAATAAATGTCTGATGAAACATACTTAAATAGTTTTTTCCACAAAATATCCTTGAAAAATAGGGGTGTGTCCTATGCGAGGGTGCGTCTTTTACACCGGCAAATATGGTACTGGCTCTTGGCTTCAGTGCTTTTGATGATTACAGTGTGTAATTACCTAAGTGTAGTTACAGGATGAGAGCTATGCTCGTGGTGTCCCGTCTTCCCAGCACTCTTTGTCATATAATGCTTGGAAACTACTGACGGTCTTGGCCTCCACCACCACCTCACTTAACTTGTTCCAACCGTCTACCACTCTATTTGCGAAAGTGAATTTTCTTATATTTCTTCGGCATCTGTGTTTAGCTAGTTTAAATCTATGACCTCTTGTTCTTGAAGTTCCAGGTCTCAGGAAATCTTCCCTGTCGATTTTATCAATTCCTGTTACTATTTTGTACGTAGTGATCATATCACCTCTTTTTCTTCTGTCTTCTAGTTTTGGCATATTTAATGCTTCTAACCTCCCCTCGTAGCTCTTGCCCTTCAGTTCTGGGAGCCACTTAGTAGCATGTCTTTGCACCTTTTCCAGTTTGTTGATGTGCTTCTTAACCCTTCAATTGCGCATCGCATCATATGATGCTTTGCCCACTTGCAGTAAATTGCGCATCGCATCATGTGATGCTTTGGAGTACTACGCAAGATTTAAACGGCCCGCGGATACTCGGGGGTTCACCACACCTTCATCAGGGCTCTTGTAAACAGACGCCATTTAAAAAAAAAATCGTGGGCCAAACTCCCAGGTGTTAGGGGCCTCAGTATTGAGTCAGCTACCAAGCCTGATGCACGCAGCATGAACTCACAGCACTGCTGTTCAGCTTGTGACCACAGCATCGCCAAAAAATGCCATAATATACTGGTTCATGCTATTATGTAGATGATATTATTACAGAAGACCCCTGACTGTGATAAAACTGACCAGGGTTCTGATAATAGCAGGATTGTGGTGATATTTGGCGCTGTGCGCCATGGAGGGAGGAGTAATGCTGTGGGAGGGAGGATGGTGGCGTTGTCTTTTGAGTGTGTGTGGCCGACTGTTATTGACTGCACTCACCATACCAGCTTGGTGGTTCGCTATGGTGAACACAAATGTAGATACTTATATATAACGTGTATATAGTGTGAGATAACAGCGAGATTAGGAGGTTGGGAGCCGCCAGTTTTGTTGAAATGAGCAATAACTCTTTCAATAGGGTCTTGGTTACGTTCTGAGTTTCTCCATATCAAATAGAGATGTGAATTATGCAAATATTGCCAAAAGTTTTTGCAATTTGGAGAAATCTAGTGAAATTTCAGCCGATGATATCAATATTTGCAAGGGAATGGTGTACGGTTCTTTATTTAAGGGTACTGTGCCTAATTGTCCAGAGAGGTTTATGCGAGCGTTCAAAACCCTCAAAAAAGATAACTTTCTACATATCACTAAAGCTGATAAATCCAATGCTGTTGTCATCATGGACAAAGAAGACTACGTCCAAAAAATGAACCAGTTATTGGAGGACAGAGACACATACTTACCTGTTAATAGTGACCCTATTGAAAGAGTTATTGCTCATTTCAACAAAACTCTTAAAACCGTGCTCAAGAACGATAAGGAGTCGATTCCTAAGTTTTTAAGTCGTTCCCCTTCTCTCCCATATCTATATGGGCTTATTAAAACACACAAACCGAATAATCCTGCAAGACCTATTATTAGTTCTGTTGGATCTGTGGCATATAGACTTTCCAAATGGCTTGTCCAAGTCTTGTCTCCAGTAGTAGGTTCCATTTCCAACTCACACATAACAAACAACTTGGACTTGGTTAACAAGTTGTCTAGTTTGAAATTAAATTATGATTTTAAACTTGTTAGTTTTGATGTGACGGCTCTGTTCACTAGGGTTCCTGTTGATGATCTGTTGTCATTCTTACGGGATCTACTCCCAAGGTATAATTTAACTTTGCCTACTAACACCATTATTGAACTTATAAAATTGTGCATTAAAGATAATTATTTCAGCTTTAATGATTCATTTTATAAACAAACATTTGGCATGGCGATGGGTAATCCCCTCTCCCCTGTTTTGAGCAATCTGTACATGGAATGTTTCGAAACAAA